CATGTCCAGAGGAGGGACTGTGGTTTGGACATGTCCAGAGGAGGGACAGTTGGTATATTGGTAGAAGGATGTTAGAAATGCAGCTGCAGGAAAAAGACAAAGAGGAGACACATGGATGTAGTTAGAGAGGACATGGAGGGAGTTTGAGTGAGGACAAAGGACACAGAGGACAGAGTGAGATGGAGGAGAGGCTGTGGAGACCTGAAGAGGGAAAAACTGAAAGAAGAATACGACGATGGTACTGGGAGCTGTGGTAACTGGTTCTTGTCACTTTAGATCCTATTACAGGCTCTGGAAACCCAGTTTGAGGTTTCCTGTGAACGTACTGGGCCAGACGTCTCATCCTGTGAACGTACTGGGCCGGACGTCTCATCATGTGAACGTACTGGGCCGGACGTCTCATCCTGTGCACGTACTGAGCCGGACGTCTCATCCTGTGAACGTACTGGGCCGGACGTCTCATCCTGTGAACGTACTGGGCCGGACGTCTCATCTCACCTGGTCTTATTCCATCAGGCAGCTGAAATGTGTTTGCAGGAGGAAGATGAAGCTGCAGTGAGAGTTGGTGACGTGCAGGTGGATGTTTGTCTTATCAGCTGCTCGCTCTCATTACGAACACGCTCGATTCATTTTCCCCTCAAGGCTTCCGCCTTATCCCAATCTCCATCTCTATCTTCCACCTCCATCCATGCCTCTCTGTCCTCTCCCAGGGACATTTCTCAAAGCAAGTTTCCCCCACCCCACCCCACCCACAGATCCGAGCTGATAGAGATTGAAATGTTATTTCCTCTTTCCCCCAGAAACTTGTCGACAGCGTCCGGGTCCTTCAGACCTCCCCCGTATGTTCTCCCATCTGTCCTCACTGTTTTCATCTCATTCACTCCTGATGTGTCCACCCGGCAATTTGTTGTCCTCTGACAAAAGACGGGAAAAGAAATCTGGATTCGTGTTCTCGCCGTCCTCTTGAGTTGACAGCAGAGACCGAGCGCGTCAGAAGACATTACGCTCTGGCCCACGTTTCTTCAGCGAGTGTCTGTTTTTAATCAGGCGCCGGACGACCTCTGGGATGACTGCAGCCGACAGCTAATGTCTCCAACTTTTAATAGGCCTGGATTTAGCTCCAGTGGTTCTCAAACTGAGGTCTGAGGACTCTGAAGGGTTCATCAGGGAGTCGCAGACGAGTCACGCACACGAGCGAGGGAAGAATTAGCTGATCATTTTTAAAGTGGTTTTGTTGTGATAAAATCTGCTTCTGACCCAACAACTCGAGAACTCTTCAGCTGGCGGAGCTGATTGCTACCAACATTATAATAATTATCACCCACCATTCATGGGCAATCATGTAACCACTTGTGTCTGTGATTGTCTGTTAGCAAAATATATTAATGAACCAGTGAACGTTTTAATGGACCTCGGTCAGTAATTATGTACTTCTACAACTTTTTGTCCACCGTTGCAGAGCCAAGTGGGAGAATTAAAATACCCTCCATGTGTTTGTGATCATGACGGCTTGAGTGAGATACTAACATTTTGTTGTGTGGCTGCATGTAGGCGCAACTACGGTCTCCTTTGAAAACTAGGTTACTGTGTCAAAATCCAAGATAGCCACCACCATATATGTATGTAAGTGACCACCCCTATTATTTGAGGAAACTGTTTTCTAGTTTTTATTTTGCTTAAAGTTTTCTCAAATGATTGTGGTGGCCAATATTAATTTATGGGGGCCAAGGCCACCATTGGCCACCCCTTGGATCATCTTCCATTGCTCCTGGTGGTGGATAAAATGTCTCCCTCCTTTCTCCAGGATCCATCTCTCAGGTCCTCTGGACGGATTCTTCTTGTTGAAACGTTTCGTCTTTTATCCAAAGGACTTCTTCAGTCTGAGGAGCTGCAACAAAGTCAGTCTTATAAATAGCACCTTCTCATGGTGGATCAGCCAGTTTGTTGTTGACGTCCAGAACCAGCTGTTCACGTGATGGAGGACCATCAGACTAACGACTGATCATTAGCACCTCATGGCTGTTTACTACTCACAGGGGGTTGAGTGATAGTAGCAATAACAGCATTGTAAGAGGGGGACAGTTGAACCCGGAGGCTCCGCCCCTGTTTAATGATGGACAGGTACTCTTCACAAAGATGGCTTCCTTCACTCCTCTCTCAAACCTCCCTCTGTTCTTCTCCAGTGTAGCTCCTCCCCACTTGAATATCTTGCACCAAAAACATTTAGGTTTGCTTCATTCCCTGTTCAAGTACAGTCCAGGAAAAACATTCACGATGCAACACAAACACAAAGAGCAGATCAGAAACAGATCTACTGTGTGACCTGGTGTGGTAGTAGCTGAGCATCATCCCCAACACAAGCGCCAGCAGATCCTGTAAGTGTTTGAAGGTCCTGAAAATCCAGATGTTTTTGTTTATCTTCATGTAGACATGAACAGCAGCTGTTCCTTCCCTCAGAATGTGCATACATTTAGTAGATGTAGATAAACGGCCGCTCTGCGCCTGAATAATAAATGTAATGCATCAAACATATGCTGCTGTGTTTTAGTGGAAGTGATGGAGCCTGATAACAACAGAATCACTAATGATCATGTTTACATCTTCTCCATCGCACCACTTTCTCCTCTTCACTTCTGTCGGATCCTCGTCTTTTCTCGTCTTTATTTTTCTAACTCGAGAGAGCTAAAGAGCCGTGGGTTGTTGTTGGTTTGTTTTGTGGGGGGCAGAAATTACCCACCCATCGCCTGTAATGGGTCCGGCATTGTTATCGTCTCCTCAGAAATGAATCCATTAGAAATGTTGGAGAACGAAAATGGGCCTCAGGCGGCACTAATTTCAAATCCCCGAGGTAATTTGGAGTCGTTAACAACAATTTGTGCCTTTGAAAACTTAGCTTGCTAATTTCTGTATAGAATGCATAGAGTGACATATTTTATATTACTTTCCTGTTTTTCTTTCAAAGCCATAAGATGGAGTCCTGTTCTTTTGTTCTTACGAGGCGTGGGCCGTGATGAGTGGCTGCTGATCTCCTGGACACCCTGTCACGACACCTAATGAAGCTTTCTGATGACGACAGGGCGGAAAAGAAAGAGAACAGATGTAGTGTTCGGGTTTACAACGTACGGATGATACAAAGCAGCAGTGTGGCCCAAGAGTTTCTGACAATCATCAGGTCCAGAGGGACAACACGTGACGTCTCCTCAGTTTGAACTCATGACAGTTTTCTTTTTAGTGACATCACTACTGAAACATTGCACTTTTGCAATAACTAGAAAAAACAAAGTTAAACTTCAGCAAACCTTAGATTTTAGTTACAGTGTAAACACAAACATTTAATATTTTCACAGAATGTTAGTGTCATCATCTGAAAACACATGAACCCATTTAAAACTTGGTCCCAATCTCTATGGTCCAATTCAGTTCAGTTTATTTCTTCAGCTCCAAGTCACAACAGAATCGTCTCAGGCACTGAACAGAAACTTTTAAATATAAAATAATAATTTAACATTATTTATCTGAAGAGCAGCTCTGAGTTTAACTCCATCACTGAACTCTCATCTTGAACAAGCATGAAGGCGACAGTGGAAAGAAAAACTCCCTCATGAGGAAGAAACCTTTAGTCCAGGTGTAGTTTCCATAGTTCAGGTGTAGTTTCTATGGTCCAGGTGTAGTTTC